CTTTTTTTTTTTGGTACCGGGGATCGAACTCGGGTCCTTGCGCTTGCGCAGCAGGGGGCGAAACCACTGGGCTAAATCCCCAGCCCTAAAATTTCTTTTTTCTTTTTTTTTTTTTGGTACCGGGGATCGAACTCGGGTCCTTGTGCTTGTGCAGCAGGTGGCGAAACCACTGAGCTAAATCCCCGGCCCTTCTATGATCTTTCATGGTCATTTTGCCTTTGGGGAACAGCCAGAAGTTACAGGGTACCAGGTCTGATGAATAAGCTGGGTGAGGACATATTGAAATGTTTTTATGCACCTGCCTTTCTATTGGATGGCACTCAGTGGCCGCATTCACCATACTTTTTGATCACATCTCTTAAAGACACTCACAAAAGAGGACTTCCAGAACTGCTTCAGAAAATGGCATGAAAAATGGGATAAATGTGTTTGAAGCAAGGGGAAAATTGGGGGGGGAAATTAATAGTAATTGGTCTTTTATTATTGTAATTTTTTTTGAGACAGGGTCTTGCCTTGCAGTTCAGGCTAGCCTTGTAGCCCAGGCTGGCCTCGAACTCCTGGCAAGCCTCCTGCCTTACTGCTGAGACTACAGGCCTGCACCACCACACCCAGCCATTGTAATGAATTTTTTTGGGGGGTAGGGTACCAGGGATCGAACTCTGGTCCTTGTGCTTTGCGCAGCAGGCGGCAAAACCACTGAGCTAAATCCCTGGGCTTTGTAATGAATTTTTAAAAATGTAAACAGTCACCATAGGTTTTGATCACACAGCTGCAGGTTCTCAGAGTTAGGATGTGGACGTAGGGTTTTGCGGGGTACCGCCCGACCTGTTGCAGTGGCTAACATGCTCCCTGTGTGACCTTTTGTTCTCCCAGGTGCATCTTGGGCTGCTGCTTCATCCCCTTCTGCGTGGATGCCCTGCAGGACGTGGACCACTACTGTCCCAACTGCAAAGCCCTCCTGGGCACCTACAAGCGCTTGTAGAACATGGCCAGGCCTGGAGGGAGCTGCGAGCTGCAGGAAGTTCCCTGAATCTCCCCCAGCCCACCCCTGGGACAGGCTCAGCTCCAACGGTCCCATCTCTCCACCTTCATGTCTTCTTTTGGGGGGAAAATATCGCAAAAGTAACAAACCTCCTAACCCCAGAAATTGCTGATTGGAGAGATGCACAGGAGATGCAGAGACGTGGACCTTGAGTGTGGGTTCAAGGGTTTCCTGCCGACCCACGGCCCCAAAGCCACCATGACTGTGACGCCGCCCCCTCTGATATCTTCCAGCGATTTGCCTTCCGGCCTCAGTGGGCCCTTCTGTTGGTCTCAAACTAAGAAGCCACAGTTTGCCTTATTTTTGAGACTGTTGTGCCTGGCCCTTGGCTGAAGCAGCCTGTAGCACCTGTCATCCTGTCCTTCTCTTCCTGCCCCATGACAAAAATCTTGCCTTAGAGACTTTATGGGTTTGCTCCTTAGATTCTGTAATTGCAAACTTTTTTGGCACTCAAGCTCATTTTAATTTCTTAATGTTCTTTCAAGTGCAAGGAAGGGCCATTAACACTCATCAGACATAGATCCATGAGGTCATAAATGCAAAATCAAAGAAAATTAGGGCTGGGTTTTATCATTGTTCTGCCTTTCCTTGTTTCCTTCAGATCCTCAGCTCCACTTTATATGAAGGGATTTTTTTTTTTTTTAATGGTTAATAGTATTAACAGCTTTCCTGACCTCCTTTTGGTCTTGAACACATTTGAACCTAATTTGGGAAGGAGGGTTTTATAGACTTGTTTTCTGTAACCATATGATGGGGATCATTTTCCCATTTGTTAATGCACACTTTGTTTTTGCCTAGTTTGGGAGGGGGTCTTGTATTGCCCAGACTGGCCTTGAATTCCTGGACTCAAAGGATCCCCTCTGCCTTGGCCTCTTGAGTAGCTGGGATTTCACATGCTTATCACTGTGCCTGGCTCCCTTTTTTCTTTTTTAAACAAAAATAAATGGATAATTTTTTCATTGCCTTTACATGGGTTTACTGTGGTTCTTAACAGCCTCTCAAAGTGGGGTGCCTTTGGGCTCCCAGCAGAGCAAGGAGGGAAGCCTGGTCGGGCCCACCCAGGTGCTGAGAGTTTGGGGCACCAGAAGTGTCTTAAAGGAATCTAAAGTCTGACTTGATTTTTCAGAGCTATTCTTTGTTATATAAGAGCAGCATGATTTCTGGGACTCAAGCTGCAGCCAGAGGTCTAGGTTGGTTGTTGTGCCACTTTGAAATTGAGACAGAGCTGGGCTCACCTTTCTGGAGGCCCTGTTTTGAAACTCAGCTGGCACAGGGAACTCATGAATGAATACTCATGTAGAAATCCAACCTAAAAACTTGGCCAAAATTCTATGTATTGGTTGAAATTTGTAACTGTTGATTCAGCTTTGTTCACTGGTGTTTTGGAAATGCCAGTAATTATTTCTGCAGTGAATTATGGATACCATATAGTACTTTGGTGTTATCTGCTTTTCAAAAATAAAAGTCTTTGGTTCACTCGGTGAACTATTTATCAATTCTGGTGTGAAGAAAGGTCTCATGTTGTGTTTCCAGGCATTGCTACAAAGAACCCTTATTTGCTCTGTAATGGTGGAAAAATCCTTCACAACACAAACTTCAGACTTGCTGAATGTCCCCCGATGTTGCTTGTTAACGAGTGGAGTTTGAATACTGAGCTGTTGGAACCCCTCAGGCATCCTGGATGGCAGCAAGCCATGGTTTTCAAGTCTAATCAAATGCACAGAAGAAAGCCATTGCCATTCATTCTCCAAACAAAACTTGCTTTGTTCTAAGCAGGTACTGTAACATGCAAGGGGTATGCATCATACCCCCCTCTTTCCTATCTGATGACAGTTTCATTTTGGAAGGTGCAGGAAAATAATGTCATCTTGGTGTCGCCTACATTGTCATTGAAACCCTAATTTATGGTCTCAGGAAGTTGCTGCTCACAGGATCCCCGATTGTATGGTTTTTCTTCCTTTGACAAAACTCAAAGCTGTGCCTAGTTAGCATTTGTGCTCCGATGGTGGTATATAAATGATCTCAAGCTGTTACTAATTATATATGCAAAAATCTCCAAAAGCAGGGCCATTTCGAGGACCGTAAGATATACATTTTGTGGAATTTGAATGTCAAATTCCTCGAGTATGAAATACTCATCAGATATGCCATCGGAATGTCAAAAATACAGACTTAACCATACATTTTTGCAAATTAAAAGACTTTTACTCTGCCACTGTCTAGGGGGGCACTTTGGAGTCACCCTGTTGAAAACACTGGACCACAGAAAATTTGATGAAAAGGTTTTAACCCACCTACCTGGACCTCAAAGGAGAATTTTGCCAGTTTCAAACTAGAAGGAGTTGCTGCTTATGCACCGTTCATCACCTCACCTCGGTTATAAGAAGTGCTAGTGTGTTGCCTTGGTAACAAAGTTTTCAGGTTTGACATCTCTTTAAGCCAACTCAGCACGTGACAGACTCCTTGCTGACCATGGCATTGCCTTAAAAATGTTTCTGGGGGACAACTGGCTTCCCCGTTGCTACCCAGAGCTCTTCATAGCCTCAGTTTGGCTCAGTTGTCTTCCCAGAGGAGGTCTTGCGTGTTTAGAGTATTAAAAGCCCTCTCCAACTTTGTGGGCTCAGGCTCTCTGTTAGGAGTAAATCTAGACGTTGGAATTTTACTTGCAGAATTCTGAGTTGCACATTGGATTCTTATTAAAATTATCTGCTGCCTTTATGACTGGTGTTTACAATGAGTCTGTGTTTTACAGGCCCTGGAGTGAATTGGAAGTAGATCCAGCTAAGGCCAAAGAGAGCGGGAATAGTTTTAAGGATTTTTTTTTTTAAACAAGATGCTGAGGCTCAGATTAAAAGGAAAAAAACAAACCATGTCACAGCCAGGCATACAGCTTAGTGCATTTAACTGCCTTATGACTGCTCTCTGAAAGTATAGAAAGATGTTCTCCTATTTCAGCACCCCACCCCCGTTTTTGTTGTTGATCTTTGGTGGTGGGGATCAAACACAGCCTTGTGCATACTAAGCATGTGCCTTACCACTGAGCTCCTCCCTCAGCTCTCTTTTTTCCCTTTTAGACTCTGTCTCTTTACTGGGAATTGAATCCAGGGCCTTTGCACTGAGCTATATCCCCCACTCTTTTTTTTTTTTTTTTTTTTAATTTTGTTTATTTTGAGATAGGATCTTGCTAAGTTGTCTAGGCTGGCTTAAATTTGCGATCCCAAGTGCAAGGACCCGAGTTTGATCCACAGT